TGTCCAACACAGCAACTTCTTTTTTTTTTTTTTTCACCTTATAAGAATTTAAGCAATGATAACTTACATTTTTGGCAAAGTTGGACACTTCGTATTGACGAAACCCAGCTTTCTCCAGAACTCCCCGTGCTGAATTGTACATAACAGCTGTGACATCGTCACCAGGCACGCTTAGTTCACCGCTGCCAACCTGTTTAAAAAGCTGCGTACCCCTTTCCAAAGTCAGCTGATACAGTGAAACGTGATCATCACAAACCGGCAGCAATTTCTCCAGCTCACTCTCCCACGACTTTACACTTTGTCCTGGAAGCGCAAACATGACATCCACTGACACGCGTCCCGGGCAGAGCGTCCTGGCCTCTGACACTGTCCAGAGAGCATGCTGGGAATCGTGATCCCTTCCTAGTGTCCTCAGGTGATCATCATTCAGTGACTGTGGAGAATAGCATTAGATCTATGGAGACTTGGTCAAAACTATGTAACATCATGTGCATGCAACATACAGTTAGGTCCATATATATTTGGACACAAGCACAATTTTTATTATTTTAGCTGTTGACCAAAACATATTCAAGTTAGAGTTATATAATGAATATTTGAGCTCAAATTACAGCTCAGTGCACCCCCCCCCCCAAGCATTATTTACAGCAAAAATCGGTGTATAAAAATGGTTGTAATTCCTAAGCATTTTATGTTTTTGTTCAACCCCTTGAATTAAAGCTTAAAAATCTTAATTGTTTCAATTTAATTCTATTCTGGTGGCATACAGAGCCAAAATTATGAAAATTGTGCATATATATGGACCTAACTGTACCTGAATTCCAACAGAAAACCGGTTAACTCCTGCTAATGTGAAGTCTTTCAGACTAGCTTTTCCAGCAGGTGTAGGGTTCACCTCCAGAGTGACCTCTGCTTCATCTGAGAGATGAGCGTGTTTGGAGACGGTCTCCAAGACAGCAGCGATTGTGGAGGGCTGAGCCAAGCTGGGTGTTCCTCCTCCAAAAAACACTGAGCTGATCCTACAGGACAGCACAGGATTAATTAAAGGGATATAGTTCACCCAAAAATAAACATTCTGTCATTATTTACCCACACCTAGTTCCAAACCTCTATTTAGTCATTTCTTACAAAAAGGAGAAAATTAACCCTTGTGCGTCAATTTAAGAAAAAAAAAAAGTTACACATAGGTCCATGTCTATGTTTACACATAAAAAAAATGTCCATGTCAAAAAACGGTCATAACAATTTGAAGCTTGGGAGCACAGAGTTAAGTTTGGTCTCATTTTAAAGAACACTCATGGCAGATTATTGTTGAAGTAAAAAAAAAAAGTTTAAAAAGTGAAACCAAAAAAAAAAAAGTTCTAGATGTTTAGGTTTATGAACGTTGTTTTATATAAAATATATATTTTATGAAACATGTTGAACTCTATAACTGCTAGAAAATCAAAGCCATAAATCTAAACAAGTTCCAAATTTGAGGTTGATATCTCAAAAAATGAGCTTTCAGTAAGATTGTTCGGGCGCAGTACCAAATTTTCCCCATTAGATGCCAGCAAAACTCTGCTGGTGCACACAGTGGTTAGATTTGTGATTTGCAGTAGAGTTTTTCTCTCTCAAATATTACAAGAACACACACACACACTATTTTTTTTTCTGACACACATACAAACCCCACTCTGACATCCATACCAACACACCCACACAATTATAGCTGCATTATTTATCCAATTGGCTCTATAATATGCAGAAGCAGAAAACAGAAATAAAGCGAGTATTTGCTTTATAGGTCAAACCTGAAAAAAATGGCTCCATCTGGTAAAAAAATAATAATAATTAAAATAGTAAAAAAAATTATTTTAAAGCCTTGCCAATATAATGAAAGCCTATCAACAAAAATTGCATAATTTTACAGTTAAATGGCACTAAGATTAAAAATAGCAGTTTTAATGGGTTTCCATGGGGACATTTTTGTCCTTAAGGTCCTGAGAGGAACAATTTTTTTATACCTAGTGCAAAACAGATTTATTAAAAGGAAATGGAAGTGAAATAGTAAAATTCCAATAAAAATACACACCCGTGCCAAAATGTATGCAGTTGGCAATAACACAGGCAAAATGATCAAAAAAATAAATAAACAGAAAAGGACAAAAATGTCCATAAGGGTTAAAAGAACGTGTGAAGATATTTTATTTTTTATTATACTTTATACTCTTTAGAGCAGGGGTGCCCAAACTCGGTCCTGGAGGGCCGGTGTCCTGCAGAGTTGAGCTCCAGCTTGCCTCAACACACCTGTCTTCAAGTTTCTAGTATGCCTAGTAAGAGCTTGATTAGCTGTCCTGGAGGGCCGGTGTCCTGCAGAGTTGAGCTCCAACCCCAATTAAACACACCTGATCCAGCTAATCAAGCTAGGCATACTAGAAACTGGAAGACAGGTGTGTTGAGGCAAGCTGGAGCTAAACTCTGCAGGACACCGGCCCTCCAGGACCGAGTTTGGGCAGCCCTGCTTCAGAGCATATTCATGCACACTGACCTGGAGACCTGACTGAGCTGCAGTAAGGTTTGTGTCTCTTTCTGCAGACATGCTGTCATGACCGCGTGGTTTTGATTCCGAGGAATATACTTGTTGAAGTTGCAGTAGGAGCATCTTTTTAGGCAATAGGGCCACTGTAAAAAGGAGAAATGCAGACAGGTAAAACAGAATAAATGTGACAGTCTATGTATTTGACAGACGTGTTTAGGCACTCACGTGGACATAAAGGGACGCTTCGTCTGCTTGAGGAGGCGATCTGTGAGTAGTGGCGATAGATCTCAACAGTACAGAACCGAGCGCCGTTCCCAAACACTGTAAAGCGTGCTGTTGTGTTAGTAATGTTTGTCTCGACATACTGAACTTGAAGAGTCAGTGAATTTACGCTTCTGCCATATTTTCTGCACGGTGCTATTTTACTGCAACACACTGCGTCCACTGTTGACAACTCTCGCGAGACAAATAAGCAACCGCAGCTTCAAAGACAAGCCCCACATTTTTTTTTGTTGATTTATCATCATCAATATTATATAATTGAGCCTGCAACATATCAAACTGAAACCACTAAAACAGAAGCCGTTTTACAAAAATCAGCAAACTGCAACAAAACTCACCTGTGAGCAGACTAGGATTGGAGAGATGGAAAAGAGGAAAACACAAGAGCTTCAAAGGGGAGCGGTGTAACATAGCCACATTTATAGCATAGCCTACTAAAATATTAGTTAGTATAGAACTACTTGTTTTTTTTTTTTATTACACCCCGTGATAATTAGTACATTACAAAAACATTGTAAAAAAAAATAAGAATTAGGCTAAAAGAAAGTCATCCCACTCTGCTGCGTCTACTTCTGTCATCGCTTGGATTACAGCGTCACGCGCCTTCTTTCTGAACGTGATTTTCTCCACCAATGAGGGCGAGGAGGGGGCGGGACATGTGGCAAGTTACGCTGCAGCATTTATAATATTGCACTGGTTAGCTATTAACTGCGAGCAGACAGCCATTCAATGCATTGGAGAATACGGCGAACATAAATAAGGAAACTAAGTTGCTTGTCAGATTTTCCCTAACAAGCAACCATATTTTTTAAAATAAGCCCAAAAAACCGCAACCGGGGATTTTTTCATGCAACTTTACAAAAAAAAAAAAAAAGCCCAAAGTCGAGTATAAGTCAAGTCAAGTCTGCTTTATTGTCAATTCTTCCACCTGTACAGCACATACACACAGAGAATTGAAATTGCGTTACTCTCAGACCCTTGGGTGCATACAGATAACATAAATACAGAATAAATACAACTATACAAATATGGTAAAGTGTAAAAATATATATATAAAGCACAAGGCATATGGCAGTATAATACGCGGACCTGGCAACTCTGACTGCGTCACAAAGATGTGAAACGCTCATGTTCTGGAAAAAAAATAAAAAAAATAAAATAAAAATCTACTGTAAATGTTTCTGATATTTTTTATTTAATTTTTTTTGTCATAGCCAAGCTTTTTATATTTACTTTTTATTTTAGATGGTCATCTGTAATAAATAAAATCTTTAAAAAATTAAATTAAATAAAAAAAAAGCAATAAAAATGCATTACCTACACTAAAATACCATAGATACCCGCAGGCTGGCGCGCTTTCACCACCAGCCACTCTTTTTTTGTTGTTGTTCTGTACCTTAAAGATGTGTGCCGTTTAATTTCATTTTTTTCCTGAGCAAAAAATATAAAATCATACTTTCACAGTGGTAACAGCAAAAATCATTAGATGACATTAAAAGGCATCGTTCAAACAAAAAGGATTTCACCCATATGTCAGCTCAGCAATAAGTTAATTCATTAAAATAATAAAAATTGTGTAATAACTTTCTTTTATATTTTTACAGATATATATATATTTTCCTTTAACACACCTGTCACCGAAAGATGATGCAATTATTTCACCAATATTGACTTATTTTCACAAGAGTTATTTGAAACATTAAAGTGGACACTTTACTTGCATTTATTATGCTTGGTTTATATAAAATCACTTTTGAACATTTCATTTGACGCGGACAACAAAATGGGACATCTTGTCTTTGACCCATAAATAAAGCTTTAGTAAGTCACCAAATTAAACAAACTTCACATAACTATAATATGAAGTCTTTTTGGGTGCCTTTTAACCGCTGAATCTGTGAACTGTTGTTTTTGTTGCACTGTATTGCAACATAATATTCTAATGCATTATGGTTTGGCTTTCTTGTTGTAATGAAGTATAGTATTCTGCAACACCTATACCTCCAAGCTAAAATAGAGCAAACTATGAGTTCACCTGAGTCCTCTTCAGCCGCTTCTATTCTGCTTGTCTATTTCTACAGTTCAGTTTTGTTATAAAAAAAAAAAAAAAAACAAGAGACATGTTTCTTTAAAAATGCATTATTTGTCTCTTAACATATGAAGGCTGTTTCAATGGCTTGTGCAAAGCAGAACACAAACTGGGCCAGAGAGAAGTTGAAGCCCCATAGCAACTAAGACAAGTATTGATGTCTACACTCTCTGTACCTCTAGCTGCTGACTCCTAAAATCTCGTAGTGACCCCAAACGTTTGCACGGAGCGTATTCACAGACTCGTTCGACTTTAAGTGCCACTTTTTGAAGGCAAAAAAAGGGAAGTTGAAGCGCGATGCATTATGGGACGTGGAATCTAATGCATTGCACTCTAAATCGTATTGCATTGAAGTGAAGATCGTGCATGAGTGAATAGTTAACAACCCTACTGGCTAAAAAGATATTGTTGCAACCTTGCAATTCTGGCGCTGTTAGGAAATGAAGGAGCATCTCACGTGACCTGGTGTGAGCTGCCATCATCGAAATGCATGCGTTTGTTTTGGGCATTTGCACAATTTAGGAAGTGTCTCGGATCGCCGTACTTCGCAGCTTGTAAAGGTTGGCTTGTTGGATTCTGGTCGGCTGACTAACGTCGCTTCTTCCAGTTGCTGTTGTTCTAGCCATTCACGTTTTGCTCTTGGTTCCAGGAACTTGTCGTCGGATGTGTAAAATGCTGAATGCTGCAGCAGCCGACAGAAATAAAGACCCGATCCTCGCTGTTTTAAAAAGCAGAGTGGCATCAGACAGGCCTCTGGTCGCTCTGGAAATATCTTCTGGCACTGGACAGCATGTTATTCACTTTGCCAAAGCGTTTCCCAACATTTCATGGCAACCGTCTGAAATCGAAGCGCAGTCCATATCGAGGTAAATATGCGCAACACCTTGATTTATCTCGAATTCAGATGTAGACATGAAATCTCTCAATCTCGTATGCACCAGGGTTACATTCACGCTGCTGCAGAAATGCATTGGTTGAAACTATTCAAGTTATGAAAACAAATCTCATTTACTGAATAATAAAGAGACACGTGGTTGAAATACTTTCTGAAATAATCCTTTAATTGATATTTCCCCGTGCAATCTTGTGATAATGACAGTTCACTTACACCTGTCACTAGATGTCGCTCAGTCACTTTTAGAAACCTTTTGTAGCTGTGCTCTAACTCAGTGGTTCCCAACCCTGGTCCTTGAGGCACCCCAACACTGCACATTTTGCATGTCTCCTTTCTCTGACACCAGTTTCAGGTCTTGAAGTCTCTACTAATGAGCTGATGACCTGAATCAGGTGTGTTTGATTTAAGGAGACATGCAAAACGTGCAGTGTTGGGGTGCCTCAAGGACCAGGGTTGGGAACCACTGCTCTAGTAGTCTAGTTAGTAAAAAACAAATGATATTTTAAATTTTTTAAATGAAGAGGTCTTTCAAAGTACTCATTCTTGATCTTAGCATCATAAATTCACGTTATTCCAAAGGGGGAAAAAACTATGTAATCTAATTTCACAAAATTCAAATTATTATTATTTTTGTATTTTTTTTTTTTATTGCAGTAAACAACCAGGATTACAGTACGTACAAAACGAACAGTAAAAAACAGTACGTACAAAACATACAAAATACCAATCAATAATAAACTACTTGAGGATTAATAGATAAAACATCACAGAAAAAACTATATAATATGAAAATTCGTAAGAAAAATTCAAATGATTGCTCCCCTTCCGAAACTATTTCATTTAGAGCGAACGTCACGCAGGCGTAATAAATATTCAAATTTATTTCACTGGTGTGAAAAGACATGCTTGTAAAAAAAAAAAAAAAAAAACTCAGGCCATAAGACACTTACAGTTTGTTTAGATGGTCACTTCAATTCTCAAAATGTTCTTTTATGTGGATTTGCTCACGAACAAAAAAAACTAACGATCTTAGTATTTTTCTTTTTTTCCATTACAAACATCTAAAAGTTACTTAAGATGTAAAGTCTTCCTGAAAAAAGGACTACCAACAGTAAATCAAATTAAGTTTATGCTTAAGACACACAAACAAAAACTTTCAGGGAGGTAAGAAAAACCTTTTTTGCCTTTGAATTAAGTTTATTTTTCTTACCCCGCTGATAGATTTTTTTTTTTTCTTGTTTTAATCATAAACTCACTTAAAGCAGCGCTATGTAACTTTTTCTGGTTTCAAAATTTGCAAAATGTATATAATGAGCAAGTACATCATGAATTCATCTTCCAAACCGCGTTTTTGTCTTATCCCGAATCACTACGGTACACTTATAATATGTACTTATATTTGGACTATTGTAGCCTGGTCAAGTCGTCACCGCTGCGGAGTAACACATACCTGCGTGAATCGCCATAAACATAAACTTGGAGAAGTAGCGCCAGTTGGAATGTTCTTGCGCGGGATGTGTGCAGTTCTGTTTATTAACCGCTAGAGCGCCAAAAGTTACATAGTGCTGCTTTAATATCTTATAGGCCTAATGGTCATTTAGATTAAAGGGGTCATATGATGCGATTTCAATTTTTCCTTTCTCTTTGGAGTGTTACAAGCTCTTGGTGCATAAAGAAGATCTGTAAAGTTGCAAAGATATATGTCATGTTTTAGGAAAGTTTAGATTTGTACTGGAAAACCAGACAAAAATACTGAGTTTTTTTTTGGTATGTGATTCCCAAAGGATAACATCAAAGATCTTAATACAAGTTCTCTTACAATTTTACCCTGTATATCATATTGTTTTTAACAAATTTGTTTTACAGAAATCCAGAGTGGGGTCTAAGAGATGTGTCATTACTGAAAACACTAGGCCAGGAAAATGGACTGCGATTGGAAGAAATTGTAAGTGTTTTATTACCAAAATTAATCGTTTAATTCAAAATCTGGTGTAGTGCAGTGCATGCTAGATGCAAATATACTTTAGGATGCTATGGTCCACATCAAGCCTCCTCAAAGCTTTTTCTTCGAGGCTGTAATCCATTACTTGGGCATGATCCATTGCAAATTAATCTGACATCGTGCCTTCTACACCTCGTTCTTGCTTTTGATTGGCTTGATTATGTGATGATTCACCACCTCCAGTCATCAAAGGCTTGTAAATGCATCTGTTTCTGTTTTTGATTTTCTAGGTTGATATGCCTGCCAACAACAAGTGCTTACTGTTTCACAAGGACAGCGTGGTTTAATAGAATAACACTGTATTTACATTTGCGTGGACTCTGTATTGTTTAAACGGTTTAAAGATACTGAATAATACAACGGCTTTGCTGAAATTGATCGTAACTCTCTTTCTGGAAAAGATGCATTTTTTTTCACACCAAAGGAAATTAATAATCATTTAGACAGATGTTTGAAATGATGTGCACATTATATTGATAGAGCCGTATCCATGAATTCCTTTGATCATCCTCATTGGTTATCTGGATCATAGTTCTGCAGTGTTATTTCAAGATTTACCTGCCTTGTAAAATCCACTTTAAGCTTGTTGACCAACCACCATGTTCCAAAAGCAAGAAAGCTGATAAAATGTGTATTTTGAATGCAATGTGATTTTTGCTTTTAAGCCAAACGCATACATGTAAATGTATATTTTTATCACACTGATGGATAGTATCAATTCAATCATATTTACAATTAATATAATCTCAATAAATATTTGTATGCCAATAGCTAAATACGTAAATTCTCACATTTCAATGCAAAATGTGTGCTTTTTTTGTTTGTGTGAAATTTAATGAAACACTAATATTAGCTGCACTGTAAATTTAATTGCTGCTCTTCCATTATGCAATTGATGTTCCTTGATCAATAAAGAATATCACAGTGTATTATCTTGTCTGTTTATTGACTACACATTGTGTATTCCTTGACCTCTGATCGGACTCTTCTCTTAGTTTTTAAAGGGGTCATATGATGCTTTTTTAAAGATTATTTGGTGTATCAGAATATGTTGACATGCTTTAATGTTCAAA